TAGTGCTCATACTCTACTAAAAGGCACAAACAAATATTCCAAAGGAATTTTAATAAAAAGAAAGAAAAAGTTGGCTAAAGAAGAAATGATGAAGGAATCATGGAAGGACTCAGAGAGAAAAAAGAATACTTCAAAAGAAAGTTGTAATAATGCAATTATCTGGATTTGAAATAATTACAGTTACACAGAACATTTCTAAGCAAAAATAACAATGGATTGCCTCCAGAAATTTAAGTCAACTATAAAATGAGAAGCAAAGCCACAAGAAACTTCAGGTAATTCTACCAAAACCAGAGACAAAATATGAATTTCTTGAAGTACTACAATATCACAGAAGGAACGTGGATAATCTGTTTCTACTGGAGAACACAGAAGTATCCACAGACACTAAGAGTTAATTCACCACATCACTGAAACAGCTCAGTTACACTTTTGCATGTAAAGGTAAGAGAACACTCTTGGTTTTCCCAGCGTTTTTACAAATCTCTTGGGTGATACAGGGAAAAGCAATGGTCCTTATCCCTCAGTTCTACAAGTTACCCTCTTCATACCATGTCATTTTGAAACAGAAGCTGTCCCCAGCACAGACATGAAGCAAATCTTTAGTTGGACTTTTATCTGTGCTAGTAAATAGCCTCTAGACAAAATCAAAACAGCTGACACCAGGGACTTGGGAAGTAAGTTCCCAACAAGCTCCCTTAAGTTTACTTTCACTTACACAGCTTCTCACAGATATCTACCCAACACAGGGCAGGGCTCTGGTTTACTGTCTTGCTTAAAAATACACATTTTCCCTCACAATAAGAAGTCAAGGAAGTTACACTCTGGCATAATTAGAGAGATTTCCTGTTAAGAATGGATAATTACAGCATCACAACTTCCTTCCAAGCCATCCATCCACATTCTCCTTTAAAGAGCACCACTCAATTAGCTACCAGCAGATAGGGTCACTATGCCATACTCATTCAAGAACCCAACCCTAAGTGTGTATCACAACACAGCTGTTTGAAGTACACCCCACAACATGCATGTGCACACAAACACTTTTATGCTGCTGAGCTAACACAGCTACAGCAGTTTCACTGAACCAACCCAGTGAAACATCCTATTTGGCATTAACTGGGTATCTTCAGGTATTCCTAATATTAATTATCCACCACACATACATACACAAGAACACCTCCCCATCAAAATCATGTAAAAAAAGGAGCGAAACCTAGCAACAAGTTTTCCAGCACCATTTATATTCAAACAAACTAAACCACTTGTCCTTAGCATCACTATACAGCACTCAACATGGCGACAAAAAGCTAACTTGAAAGAAAGGGTTGTATAAATCTCAGCATGCAAGTTAAACCCACAAACTAGTTTAGAGTTCTCACTGCTCAGAGAGGTGTGAAAACTAGGACAAAGTCCTAGTGAAACTGGGTTTTCCATAAAAGAAATTTCATGAACTATGCTTTCAGGGTTCCAAGACTATTAAACCTGTCTGATTTCTGTAAAACAAGGAATTCATCATTACAAAAGCAGCACCTAGGTTACCAAACAGCATCCTTATCCCAGCTGAAAGACTGGACTTTCAAAAAAGGACAAAAAAAAAAATATTGTGAGTTCAAGTATACAACCTCAAGATGCTGTTTTTACTTATCATAAGTCATGTTCACTAAAATTCTTTCTCCCTCAAACCAAACAAGCAACTGATCTTTGTAATGGGAGAGAAAGAGCATTCTTTGAAGTAATTCTATTTTAATCATTACTGGCTAAGAAAAGAATGCCTTTTTACCTGCGATGATTATTATGATAACTGTCACTGAGGGAAATACAGAGGGAATATACAAACCTAGGACAGGGAGCACTTCAGTTTTGGATACCCGTACACAGTCAAGAGCAAGATAAATAAGGACAGGAAGAATCATGTGCACAAGTACTTCTGTTGGATTTCCCATCATTTATACGAGTTAACATGAGGCTGAGCTACTTAAATGTGTTCATGACAGCTCAAGCTTAATGAAGAAAGAATTTCAGTAACAGGACAGTCAGAGATCTTGAGATCTGTACAAGAAATACAGAGACCATGTTAACAACAAGGCATGTCATGGTCACAGAAAATGCCACAAAACTAAGACTTCATTATAGGGCAGTATAGGAAAACTCAGCTAATCCACTCACCCAGGACACAACAAAGCAAGTTTTAACCGTATTACCACAATAAACAATAATCAGAAAAATATTTAAGCACCATGCTGCCTATGAAGACTGATATATTAACTGTCATTCACAATGAGATGTCAGTTCATAGGACTTACCTAGTTAAACTGTTGTAAAAGGAAGGTACGTACAAATAATTCAGAGGTGGGGCTTGAGTCACAGCCTGGGCAAAAAATATTTATTTTTAAACATATAACCATAAAGGGTATGAACAAAGAAAATGTTCAAAATGCAAGACCATGTGTCATTTCCTGATGCCAGTAACAGAGACTTCTAACAAACATATTAGGGGCAGCATAGAAAACTTATCTACCCATGATCTATTTTAACTGCCAAAAAAAAAAGGGACTAGTAGTAAAACTAATTAAAAAAAAAAAAAAAGTTTGTTTTGCTCTGATAAAAGAATTCTCAGAGAGAGGCAGAAATTAGAACCTGTGACAATCTAGAGTAGAAAAAGGAGACACAGAAATGGTCTTCTCATCCAGCAGCTACTAGACAGCTTTCTAAGGAAGTCCAGGCATCCTTCTGCAGCAGCATCCTGGAGGTCTCAATTAGGTTGTCCCCTAGTAGCCCTGCTCAGAACACCACCCTCTTACACACACACACGCACACGCACACGCACACGCACACGCACACACATCCCCCAACCTGCAGAGCAGTTTTCTGGCCAGATTGATGTTCTTTTTCATAAAGCTTTGCCACTAAATAATTCAGCTCCTAAACACCTTATTACTGAAACTGTACTTTTAGCACTATTACAGGCTAAACCTGACAAAGTTTGTTTTTCAGAAAGCCTCACTTCTGCTGTGTGAAATTCAGTAACATCACAATTTCATACATAAGCCATATGACAAGGTGTTTTCTCCACATGAGAGTAAGTTATTTAATGCCCAAAGATTTCCTCAGTGTTCTAACACCCCTGGTTCACCAAAAATAACAAAGTCACTCAGTTACTACCATCTTCACACAAGAGATTAAATGGATGGGAGAATACCAGAACTAAACAGAGGCAGCTGTTCTGGGGCTACCCTAAAAAATTGATCACATCCCTCTCTGGTGCTTGCAGAACAAGAATTTCTTAAACCTTTAATGCAGACACATTTTGGTGGAAAGAAGAAAGAACTACAGAACAATTAATCCTAGTACTGTCATCTGATCTTCTCATTTGGATACAGAGCGATTCAGAAGGCACAAATTCAAGATGCATGAAGACTCAACCTTCTCCTCACAGATGTGGGTGGGAGGAAAGGAGAAAGCATACATACAAAAGGCACAGACACACATCTCTATCCAGTACCTTTCATTATATATTGGGTGAAGTGAAGGGGGGGTTGTCCTTAAAAGGCCTAGAATAAACAGATGCAAGAGAATCAGGTATTCAAGCGAAGAACTTCCTCAGTCCTGTGACCTTACAGCTTAGTAGGAGATACACTAATGTGTGTGCACTTTGGTGCTCATCATTCTCTTTATAATCACCTGGGTGGATCGGAGTTGATAGAAAACCTTTGAGGCCTTCCCACCTTCGATTTATTTCTAACAGAAGCTGAAAAATGGCCCATCCCTGGATGGGATGTTAAGTTCAGGTACTGAAGTTCTAAAGAAGTTCTCTTAGATCCATCTTCCCAAGTGAATGAGACAGACTAGAAAGACGAACTAGAAGAACATCCTTACTGGGAGAGATATGCCCCTCAAGCACTCATTTCACATATTTCCCTACGTGGAAGAATTACCTGATTGATAGAGAAGGATTTTTTTTTTCCTAGTAGACTACCTGAAAAAGAATTAAGATCAGTGATCAGTTATTCCTCCCTGAAACTCCTGCACCTTCTCTTGAGAATGGGGGAGTGCTGCCCCTAGCAAGACACAAATAAGATCAATTAGTAAGGAAATTGCAGCCCATTCCTCTGCGTGGCCCCGTGGTTCTCTCTTCCCGAGGAAGGGGTATAGAGCAAGTCCTGTCCTTCAGAAGCTCACACTGTCCAGGGCCCTGTGCATAGAGAAGAGCCAGCAAGGCCCCTTATGGAGAGCAGATACACTGAACAGCCTCTCCCCAAGCTCTCCATCGCCACGTCCCCGATCCCACCCCCCCCGCGCTCCGGGAAAGCCCGATGCTGGAACACAGAGCTCCTCTGCCTCAGGAGGCTTCTCGTCCCCACGAGGCCGGTGGGAAGGGCGGCAGCCCCGCAGCGGGACCCCGGGACAGGCCGGACAGCCCTGCTCCTCGGCACAGAAAGCCCCCGGGCCGCCGTCCCCGCCCGGTACTCACAGTCCAGGTGCTTCTTCTTGGGGCCCATGACCTCGTGGGTCGTGGCCTTGCACACGGTCTTGGAGACGGCCGAACCGGTCACACTGTGCTGCGCCGCCGTGATGCGGTCGGTGAGGCTTTGGCCGGACATGGCGGGTTCGCTGGCGGCGCTGGAACCGAGCGCGGCTCCGCTCCCTCCTCAGGGGCCGGGACGGGAGGAGTCGCCGGAGGGATGGAGCTGCGCGGGCTCCTCACCCCGCCGTGCCGCAGGCGGCCCCCGCTCCGCCCTCAGGGACGGACCTGTCACCCGAGCAGGGACCCCTCCTCCTCCTCCTCCTCCCGCCCCCCTCCCCCGGCCGCCGTCCCCTCCCCCTGCGCGCCCGCCCGGCCGGGGACAGGGACACGCACTGGGCGCCGCAGGAAAATGGCGGCGACCGAGCTCCTCCTCGGGCCTTGCCGGGCCTCTCCCGCCTCACGTGACCGCCCGGCGCCCCGCCCCTTGACACGCCCCGCCCCCCCAGCGCTGAGGGGCTCGGGATCCCCTCCCAGGGCGGGATCCCTTCGTCTGGCATCCCTCCCAATGGCATCACCTCCCTCTAGCATCCCCTTCCCTGGGGCACGCTCCCCTGGGGAGGGTCGATGGGCCCCTATTTGGATTCAGCGCAGGGTAAAGTTTTCGTCGAACGAGTGTGTGTATGTGTGGGGGGGGTCCGTCCCTGAAGGAAGCAATTTTGTATTTCTCAGCCTGAAAGGTTTTTGTGGAAACTCCTTTCGGTGTCACCTGAGGCAAGGGAAAGCGTAAAGGGTGGGGGGGGGGGGGGGGGGGGAAATCTGTTCGCAGGCAGCGAGGGGTCCGAAGCTGTCTGGTTGCTGTGATCGGGCTTCTATTCGGAGTTATTTTTATTTGAAAGCTCACCAGAAATGTCTTGAATGTACATCACGGCCAGCATAAAAACATTGGTGGTTCTCAGGTCTTTCATGATTAGCCTCCCACTGTTCTGCTATTCTGCTAATACTTCTCAGGGCTCTTGGACTTAGTCAGTGGCTCTGTCCTTGGCAGCCAGGAATTTTGTACGAAGTTACTCGGTTTCTGTTCATAAAAGTCAGCTAACTGTGCCTTCAGGTGCATTCTCCAAACCTGATACCTACATCTGTAAACATGGTTACCTATATCCCAGTGGTGGACAGTGAGGAGCAGCTACTCGGAGTCCTCACCTCCTACTGTGCATTGCCAAAGCGCTGTTCCAGCCTCCCTCCGATCTGCAACTTCCATTACTCCTTACAACAGGGCTCTTCTCCCCCATCCCAAACACACTGCAGCAAATAATACAGCAAAACCACAGGATTCCAGCAGACAAAAGTTTTTCCTCTCCCAGAAGTGCTTCCTGAGGAGTTGTCTTCTAACTGTCCCTCATCCATGAAGCCAATGAAATATTTATTAGGCAACTTAAAGAGCAGAAGTATACAAATGATACTTGGCTCTGTCTGCTTGACTGGACGTATAAGTAGGATTATCTGTTTATAATGCGTAAGGAAAATTGGTGTCAGAGGAAGGACATTGGCGAAAACTGAACCCAAATAATGCCGTTTGTGTGTGTGTGTGTAAAGAGGGCTTGCACATGTAGAACTTGCTTCCTTCATAATGCCAAGCTCTTTGAAAATACTCTTGTATTTGTATTTCTTGGCTCCATCTAAACGGCTTTTGGAGTCCCAAGTATCCATGCTGGGGAAATAAATCACTGACATATACAGCAACGGACTCTGACATAAGACAGCTTTAGCATAGAGCTGCCCACCATGAGAACAGAGAGGCTGCTATAGGCTACCGATACAGCAACACACATTACTGTGATCATCTTTTTATATTATTTCTAGATTATATGGTAAATCAGAGATATAAACAATTTTGACACTGCTGGTATTTTTTATGCTAACTTCAGCTAGGAGCTGGATTTCAACATCCCAAGTTCCTGTTTGGAGAAATTCCATGGAATAGGCCTAAGTAAATTAGGCTTCATCAGTTCTTCTCTGACGATGCCCATTTTTTTCTTCAGGAACAGTGAAACTATCCAAACAGAGGAAGCTTGTGACTCTAGGAGTTACTGAGACCAGATTTGGACAAAATATTTCATTCCTAAGGGAACAAAAAGTGACCTCGGTCTTAGAGGTCCAAAACCAAAAATAAATTTTGCCTTTTTTTACAGCCCTTCATGTGCACAGAAACCTCACAGTTTTACTCCACAGTTAAAAATTCTGCTTGTTATGTTTGTTCATAAGCAGAAATGGGAGATAGAAGTGATGGGAAAATATATTTTGGTAATTGTTGCTTTTTAATTGCTTGGGAACCACTAGATACCATTCCAGTGAGGAGCTTTAAGCTCTGTGATAGATAATATCTGAGCACCTCCCAAAGATTTGGAAATTGAAATCAAAATATTATCTCTTTTCCTTTCCAACCTGAAGAAAACAAGTTTGATTAGTTTATAACTCATTTGTTTTTGTTTGTGTGCCTGGGTGTGCTCGAGAATGAAAGAAGGGAGTATATATCTGAAGAGAAACTAATGCAGATAGGAGTCCTATATTTAGTGAAGCAGCAAACTTAAACAACATTCTTTTGTCCTGTGAAAAGTTCTTCCATAATCTGGATCCAGCTTTTGTGAAAACGCTGAATCTTGTGTTCACAAGCTCCCCAAAATTGTCAGTATTTCACTGGCATCCAGCTATCCTGGAAGGACAAACAAGCTGACAGGGCTGTTTCTTCCCACGTGTATTGTGCAGTACTGAAAACACTGCCTCATCATGACCTCTGTAATTTATTATGTATATAATTTTCTTGCAATACTGTCATTTCTACTCAGTGAGGTGCCTGCCACACTGTAATGCCTGTGATCTGCCTGGGTGCTTTGGTGTTCCCAGTGCTGCTGGCATCCATGCCCTTCCTCCACGCTTCATACTATTGCATGCAATTAGGAGACATGTGGGTTGGGGTACTATTAATCAGAACTGGCTTCAGATTTAAAACAGGTGTTTGGGCTGAATTTCAGGCCTATTAGAAGTCAGCCCTTCTGAGGCACAAAGCCAGTGAGACACAAAGCTGAGCACATGCTACTAAACTGTCACAGACTCATTACCAAGGATGAGGGCATATGTCCTAACAGAAACAACAACAAAAAAACCCAGCAACCATAATCTGGGAAGTGAACAGGGCTGGGGAAGAGAAGTTGCAGAGAGGGAACAAGTTTGAAATAGGGCTGGAACAGTGGAACTGCTCAAGGGAATAGTAAGAGTGATGGGGCAAGAAGGCAATGGGAAGGGAAAGCAGAGGCAGGGAAGCCACGTCCATAAGGTTGGGAAACAGTCTATCAGTGTTGTATAAATGATTTGGAAACCTGTTACAATCCAGATGTTTCACATGACCCATTTCAAGGATCACTGTAGTTTCATTTACTCTTAAGGGCTATAGTATTTTCCCCAACTTTTCAGGAAAGGTGAATTTGATGTCAGCCCCAAGAAGTTAGCATCTGAGTTAGAGATATAAGATATAGAACAAGACAGCAGGAAACACCAGCTTCCCAAATGTAGCTCTCTGACATCTGCCTGTGTCCACGGCCACTGTATGGTCCATTTTTTCACGCACCTCTGGCAATGTAGAACTCCAGAGCAGCTGCATGGCTAGAACCGGGCCACTCACTGACCATATGCAGCAATCTAGGCCTAGTGATGAACTTTTGAGTAGCCTAAATTTGCCCAGCCTAGTAGAAATCTGCCCATTTAACTCCAGCGTAATAATTTACCCAATATTTCTTTTCTGTGACTATAGTAAGAAGTCAATATAATTTGCGTCGCCATAGCAACTTCATCAAATAATTTTATGGACAATAATGAATTTTTTTCCAGTATCACCTCTAAGAAGATAAACAAAAAGAAACTGGGACGTAGAAAAGTTGCAGTTAAAGTAGCAGTTGTTAGTGGCACAGTGAAATGAAGCAGCCCAGGCATGTGTCAGCAGAGGTACTCAAAGTGGCCAGATTGCATGCGTGGAAGAAAAGGAGGCAAATGATTATTGAGACCTGCTGTAATATTGCAAAATAATAAAAAACCGCAATGGAGTTAGGATACGTTTTAATTGATATCCCTCTTCACTATTCCAGATACGCTTGTTCACAGGTTTTCCTTTTGCTTGTCTTGTATCCAGTTTGTATGAAATTATGTTTCTGATCCTTCAAACACTTTCTACTCAGCTCCTTCCTTTCCTGTGATCATTATTCCGTGTTCATTCCTCTTTCAAATACATCACCGTCTTCCATCCAAATATCCACCTTGAGCCTATCCAGAATTTTCCTGCTGAAACAGGAACATCCAGCTATTGCTCTGCAGTCCTCTTATATCACCCACTTTTCTTCAAGCTTCTCACTGTCCTCACATCTAGTCCAAGTCTTGTTCTTGCAGATAAAGCCAACTTCCTGAAGTCCATGGTGAATCAGAGATCTCTTTCCTCATTCTCTTCCCTCTTTCTGGAAATAGTGACAGCTTTCATGTTTCTTTTGTTCCTTTCACACTTCCTCTTTTGTAATGCCAATATCCAACATCCTTCCTCATATGCACTATTCTGAGCTCTGCAGCTTGTGTCACCTTCTCATGCAGCTCCAGTTATCTAGTAATTAATGCCCCTTGCTGTTCTGTTCCCCCGAAGGAAGTTGACTTTGTCAAGGAAGAAAGCAGCTGCCCGAGAGCTATCGTAGTTTTGACTTGAGAAAAGCATGTAGGAAGGGAGAAAAATGAGTCAGTACCATTTCACAGGAGGGGAACAATCAGAACTAATTTTACTGCCTTCACTTAGGAGCAGAATGTCTGGGTAGGAGCTCCCATGCCATATGAGAGTATCAAAGTGGGTATGGAAAATAAATATGATGCTTCTGAATTCGTTTGTGTGTTATAACACCTTTTCCTTGGCCTGACACGAGACTTGCACCTTGCAAAATGGATGGTGTCATTAACACTATAAGGAGGATTTTTACCTGACTGACAAATGCATGCAACAAATGTCTTCCAGTGTGAGAGAGGAAGGAAACAAGCTCCCTTACATTTTGTTCACACATCCCAGTGGAACTGTCACACACTGACACCTCTGAAGAGCAAGAGGCCTGCTGTCCTCTGTGTCTTCCATGCATTGCCCATCAGCGAGAATTCCTAATGCACTCCTGCTGCTCTTTCATACCGTGTTTTTTTTCTTGGCAGTGGGCACTCTCACAGCAACTTGCTTCAGATACTGCACAAGGAAAATCAAACCTTACAACACAGCTTTACCAGCATAAGTGCACCCATACACTTCCCTAAAATTTCTGGAGACTGTCTATCATACAGGAAAAAAAAGTGGCCCTGTCCCAGCTAGTATCACTTGTACTCATTCCTTCCCCCTAGTTTGATGTTGAAAACTAGGGCCTTGCTGCCAAATACTTCTCCCCATCATTGCAGGCTGGCTTGTGAGACTTAGCAGGAGACAGCATTTGATAAGAATCCTTCTCTGGGCACTTCTGAGACGGTACTGTCATTCATTTCACTTCCCTGCCAGTTCACAAGCACCATGCCAGCAGGGTGAGTGCAGGAGGAACTGCATTCCTTTTGGGCTCCTGTAACTCGGAAGCCGCTCCTATAATTTTCTTCAGTCGCCTTTGAATCAAAGGCAAGCAGAACACACTTCAATCCCAAAGGAATATTTTTAAGGAAAGTTGCAAGCAAACAAACATTGAGGGTGACAGTGGAGCAGCCACTTCAGCCTGCTGCCGAGCTGCAATTGTTACTTATGCTCACACTCTTGCACACACATACGTGCAGCAGAGCTTAATCAATTCCCTCATTAATGTTGAGGCTCATGTGCTCATGCTCTGTGTCTGGGAAAGCTTTACACCCACATGAATTTTGATGTGGAGCTGAAACAAAAATGTTGATGCTGGCAATGCCAACTATAGAGAGTAAATAGCTGGGTCCTGCCAATGCTGACTTGAATGGGGCTTCTCACCCAGAAGAAAACCTATGTGTGAAAAGTATTCTCATAACTGGGTCTGTGCACCAAAAGTAAATCCTGGTTCCCTCCTCAAACAAATAAATCCATTTATGCCAGTGAGTTACTTTCAAGCCTTGTATAGGTAGGTCCCACTCCCTGGTCTTTATGTGAGATCTGAATCTTGCCTACTGAAGTGAGTCAGGCTATCGGTGTTTGGCTCTATGTTTCAGGGGTCAGTGACTGCATTTACACGTGGGCAGACTCCATGCTGATTAAGTCAAACTGCTGCACTGAAAAGAACATTAACTAAATGCTTCCCAACATTCTGATGGTGTATAAGATATTCTGAATCTTAAAATCCATAGAGGATTTATCCTAATTCATTCCAGTAAACGCAAGCACATAAAATAAAATGCTTTCCATTCAGTTAAATGGAGCAAATGCATAGAAAAAGAAATTAACTGGAATTTAAAATTGCCTTGCTTTTCAGGATCTGAGGAGCAAAGAACTACAGGTAATACTGGAATGGATGTTCTCACCTCCTCTGTCATCCTTCCTAGCTTTATTTCTTGGAGCTTAAAAAGCAATACTTCCTGAGTAGCGGTGGTGCAGGCTTGTCTTGATAACATACTTCAGCCACACCCCCTCGTCTAGAAGTGATTGGATTGTAAGTTCTGCTTGTTTCCTCCGCCAAGGCCAGAGACAGCTGCAGGCCAGATGTGAATGGCAGGGACACAGTGCTCCCTTCACAACTAAATGTCAGCACCCACCTCTCACCAGCTCGACGGCCTTGGGGAGATCCCACGGTGGAGGGCCAAATGCAGGAGAATGCACACTCACAGTTCCGCCTCATGTCGTGCCTTCTCTGTGACTCCCCACTGCTTGCAGATGGGGTTGAGGTGCCAGATAGGGGATGAGGTGATATGCTGGGAACAAGGCAATTGTCAGGACTACAGTAGTGGAGTGGGAGAGGGGCTACAAGAATACTAAAATTCCCTTGGTAGCTTCCTGGTAAATCCATATGGGTTTAAAGCTACAAGTGACTCTGGCAACAAACTTCTGTGACTTCAGATCATAAGTCGCCCGCTGTGTTGGAAGTTGTGTGATGTGAATATTTCCACTGGCTACTGGCTGCAGGCCAACAAATTCACTTTCCATGGATCACACAATAACCAACATTTTTACTGGTCACTTTTTTTCTGCATACCGGAGCAAAAAGTGGTAGAGGATCCGTGTTTTCTAATGCATCCACCTATCCAGTTCTCTTTGGACCACTTCTGTGTGCTTTCACTAATCAGTTAAGCCCTCCCCTGCTTTTTTATAGAGCGTCCCTTTTCATTGGAAAGCCAGACATGTTGGCAGTACTTGCTACCGGAGGAATAAAGAAGGAATAATGATCCAAAAGAAAGTATTATAGTCTCTGAAATTGCACTGGGATATTCTCAAGTCAAACACTAACCCTGCATGTCTTGATATTCACTTGTAACATTCTCCAAGAGAGCCTGTTTATTGCTAAAGAATTTATACATTGCAACAGCTGAAACCTAGGAAGAACTACAAAAGCAAGATACTGGTGAACATTCTGTGCACCAGTGTTTTTTAACCCTTATAACCAAAAAACAGCAAACGATAAAGGGCAAAAATTGATATCAGATGCACTGAACTTATTCAGATTAGATAACGCAGTTGGAGGAGGGAGGAGAAGATAAGGAGTTTGTGCAACATTTTGTTGACCTGAAAGACCAGATGCCAAAAAGAACATTTTACTAAGGGTAGTTGTAAAGAAAACAGTAGTGTAGGCAGGTAAAACCACAGATCAAATACTCTGCGGGTCCATAATTTCATCAAACGCAGTATGCTTTCAGATGTCAAGTTCTGTTCTTATTGAATCTGTGGCAAAATGCCCACTGACTTCAAACAGAATAGGTTTTGTCCCTGAAAGCTATGAGTATGGCCAGCAATACCAAGTCAGAATAGAAATAAATTGTGTAGGTGAGGAATAGGGAGTTGGTACTGCAAATTTACTGCCTATCTGATCTTAATGCTTTTATTTTCAAATAACCCTTTTACTCTTGGGACATCATATCAATCATTGGTTTTTTAGGTTCACAATATTTTAAAGCCTGTTGGCTGGAATGCTTAATGCTAATAAATTTTATTAGTTTATATTAGTAAGTATTAGTAAATATTTTTTAAATAGCTAGCCTAAATGTCCAGAAGCATTAGAAACATTCTTTTCGAAACAGGGCTTTTTGGTATTGCAGCAAGTTTTGTTCAGTAAAGGTCTTTAACCTTGGTATTGCTATTCTCTTTCTTTTACCTTCTCCTCCATTCTATGACATTTTCTTTAGTAAAGTTTATCAAAATCTATATTCTTAAGCCTTATCCTGAAAGTGGATTTGATAAATCTTTGACATTTCTTAGCCTTGTGGCGTATGTCTGAGCATGGATCTGTGCAAGGATGTGAAAATGAATAGCGGAAGACAAACTACTGAACTTCTTTTGCAAGTAAGTAATTTTGCGTCAAAACAAGTAAAATTGCCAGCAGTATATCTGTAGTATTTTAAAATCAGACAAAAATAGGATTGCTGTATTCTTTAATTAACATAGCTGAAAGTTAGCCAAATCGGCTTCGGACACAGCAGGAGACGTACAGTTTGTCCTGATTTTGTGGGGAATGAAAAAAATGTAATAGTTGGCACATGAACTAACTGGGCTAACTCGAAATGTTACCAAAACATGTTCAACTAGATCAAATATGGTGGTTTACCAGAGATGAGCCCACATATTTTAACGGAACAGAAGAGCACAGTTTTAAAGTTGTATGTTACTGAAATAAACAAAATCTAGAGAAAGTGATTATCAGTGACACGTAAATTTTGAGGAAAACTACTTACATATTGAAATCAGTAAAGTCTTTTGGCCAAATCCTGGCATTCTTAGTGACACAGAGTAACATCATCCCCTACAAACAGTTTTGTTGATTTGGGAATCCAGCCTTCTATGGCAAATGAAATTTCAAGGTGTTTCAACTGGAGTGAACATTTTCAATTGTCAAGATGTCAAAATCCACCACTTCTTAATTTCTATGTGCCCAGTTGCATAAGATGGGTTTAGATGAGGTTAGAGGTATAATATTAATATGGGGTAAATTGGTTATTAAAGATAAACAAACATCAACTGAGTAAACATCTTATTAGTGCTTACAAAATCTAGCCTAGATGTAGTTCCTGCCTGTATGTGATGGAACTGCACTGTCTTCCTAAGCAGACACTTTCTTGTAGAAATTTAAGGGCAGAATTCTGTCATTCTCAAAAGAAAAGATACCCTCAGGAGTCATGAAAAACCTACAAAAAGTCCAATAAGAAAACCTCTGATGAAACTAGGTGTAGGCTTCAAACCAGTCCTGTTACTAAAAGATAAAATGGATTCCTCTTGAGCTAGTGAGGACTGAATCTGGAGAAATTCCTTGAGGAGGGGCATTGCTACCCTCCCTGCAAAGGAGGGATTTAAATTTAAAAACTGTTTTAAATTGCAGTTCAAATTCCTGCCAGTAAGGTGAAGAGGATATGCATTAAATTAGTTCATGTGGCAGCTGCTCTCACCATTCACTTCTCTGTAAACAGCCCAGCTCAGTTTGGGAGTAACACTGGCCCCTGTGCTAGAGGGCTATGTGCAGACAGCTACCAAATTTACATTTAGTGGCCTTTGCAATCCTCAGAATTATTTTTTTTTTCAAAATCGGAAGATTGCCTCATTCCCAGGTATGACATTTCATAGCTTTAGAAGAAACAGTTACCAGAAGAACTTTTCTAAATTGCTTCACAGACTACAGCTCTTAGTGCTTCTCTAATCCAGGTCATTTGTTTCCTAGAAAGTACAGCTCATCATTTCATAGGACTGACTTTTCCTTGCACAGATGCTTTACCTGTTAAAAAACTTTCCTTCAGAAACCAGTATAACAGGAGCACCCTTAGGCAATAATTCCCAAATTTGGGCTTCTGACCCTTAATGATATTGTAGTAGTCCTGAGTGAGGTTGTGATTATAGCCAAAATTAAGTAAGCTAGATAGTCACAGGGCTGTGAGCCAGTCTGAAGGGGAACTTGCAACGAGGAGTTACTCAAAAGTCAAGTGGAGCACATCTTACTCTTTTACCAACTTCCATCTTTGGGGAATTTGATGATTATACACATCAGATACATAAGATGTATCCTACAGTCACAGAGCGTGATGATTATTATAGCCCGCACATTTTACAGACAATAAACACCAAGACAGGAAGCACAAAGACAAGAAGGGCCCCAAGGATTAAAGGGTGATGCAGAAATCTAGCCTTTCCTCAAGTCAGGGCCAGTTATTCACTTTGCAGGACACTCCACAGAGCTGTGACCTCTTTAGGTGAGACACAATTGGTGGGCATCCTTCCACAAAGATCCTCAGATCTCTTTTCTACACTGACCCCATATCCCTTTGGTGGGAGGAGGTAGGATGGCTCAGTCACCCCACAGGCCCTCTGTCACTTGTCCCTGATACATACTGTCAGCAAAAGCACAATGCATCCAGGTTCTTTGGTACACAAAGGGATATGTGGGAGCATTTGTCCCCTTAGAGACTTTGTATGAGTAGAGGGAGCCGTGTTGAAAACAAAGACATAATTCTAGAACTCCTGCAAAAACATCTGGCCAGCACTGTCTCTTAAAAAAACAGACTGGAGGAATGTAAACATGTGTTTGGCCAGTAAAGAAGTTGTTACATAAATGCTAATTATGAAGAGGATTTCCCATGTGTACAGGGCTTTTGACAGAACTTTGATCCCATGCAGGACACAAGTCTCAGGAGTCACATGCTCTGCCTTAGAACTATGCCGACACTTCTCTGAGCCCTAAGAAGCTGCAAGGACATTTGCTGTAGCACAGGAACAGAAGAAGCTTTGATGATTGAAAATGAAGTTTGCATAGCATCATGCTGAAGCAACTCCCTGTTTAATTAAACAGTTCCATTGGTCAGAACTTGTGAGTATCTAGCTGTGATGCTTGGATGGCCCATGCATAACAAAATACTGGAAAAAAAATTCTAATGAGTCTCTCAAACTCTCATAATCTAGTTTAAACCTAATCTAGCTGAAACCATAATCTAGCTGAAACCAGAAAGAAGAACCATCTATCTCACCTGCTCAGCAAGATATTATCTTCTGCCCAGTGCCTGCCTTTGGTCTCCCCTCACCTCCTGCACCTTCCCAGAGGTCTTTACAATGCCAATACAATTCAGGCTACACCTACAGAGCACACTACAGCAGGTAGGTGCAGTAATGAGAGGGATTGCTGAGTGAGAACACCTACAGTGTGTACTGCAACCCAGCTAGTTTGTTCATTGTATGGACTAAACATATTCTAAGGTCTTCTGTATCCTTCCTGACAGTTCTTCACTCTTGTCCTTGCTTCCTATGCCTTTCTCTTCCTTCCCTCTCCCCCCTTACCTTCCACCCAAAATTGTTTGCCCCTTAGTCTTCTCGTGGCCCTAACCTTGACCTACACTCTTCTGCTCTCTTCTTGGGACATGCTTTTTAAAGTAGGATGTATTGAAAGATGCTTTTCCCTTAATGAACATCAAACAAAATAGTTAACAAAGGCCATACATTTGCATTAGAAAGGGCAGTGGAGTCATTACATTTTTGCTGTTATGAGTGTAAGATTCTTCTCTTAGCTTCCAACGTTTTGAGCTGTTAGGATCTGACTTTCATGCCTTTTTCCTCCACAGTCAGGAGAGATTCAGATTAAACTGATCTTTCCAGAGGGATGGTGAGATTCTCACGTGGGTAACATGACTCCAGGCTCCCACAAAGATCACAAGAACGGGGGAAACCTTAGGCTTTCTTTGCTGTGAATAGTGCCATTTAGCGAAGGGAATGACTCACCATGTCCAAAGTGAAGCATGTCGTCAGACCCTTGTGGTGAAGGCACCAGAAGACCAGTTTAATAATCAGCTTGTGGCATTGCTTAAGCAGACAATGTGACACTCCTCTTCTCCTGCCACTGCGGCTACCTCTACCTCACGCACTGCCCTTGTTCATGCAGTGTTTGTGCTGCTGGGTGATGAATCTGACCAGGGAACTAATCTGACCAAAAAATACCGCTGATGTTTTATCAACACTTTTTTTGCAGAGTTACTTTTTCACTTGCATCGGAGTTTCCTGTTCCAGTTTGTGATGTGGCTCCAAAGTCGGGAGAGTAAAGGCGATGAGAGGTGGGAATGTACAGGCAAGAGTGGGAGTTTAGGGATATGAAAACCATAGGTCTTTGGCAGTCCAGTGAGAGAATATTGAACCATGCTTTGGGACTGAAACTTTCTGTTTGTCTTGCCTGTTGAACTCCTATGTCATGTGGTGCTCTATAAATAATGTCCTTTGAAACTATAGCAAGCCTATTTTAAAAGAGAAACACAGTTACTGAATGTATCACTGTGATTTATCTTCCAGCCCTCCTGTCTTCCCAGTTCCCTGTGGCTGAACCACTCATTAATGTATTTCACAAATGCGAAACAGAATACTCCATTGCTTTTGCCTCCATTCTTAAATAAAATTGTGAGAATCCAGCCTTTCAAAATGACTAAGAAAAGCAACAGGACTTCTACTCAGGAAGAAAGGGAGAGATCTACATTTGAGGCCTTAGGGGGTTTCACATAGCAAGAAAGAATTGAAGCATTTAAAACCCAGAATTCTTAAGTGACCTTTTAACTGAAGGAGTGTTTTATATATCAGAATTTCTGCCTAGATCCAAGGGGCTGTATAGGAGTTGTGTACTGGCATCAGAGAGAGTTTGTAGTCACAAGGTAAATGTACACCTTGACTTAGTTAAGATATTAATGCTGAAAATAGCATTTTATTCCAAGCAATAAAATATGAGCTACAGTTCTGAAGTTGACAAAATTTGAAGCATATTTATGTGCAGTAAAAATCTGCCTCTGAAGGAGGAAATAATAGTTCGTTGATAATATTGATTCTGAAATAAACTCAGTGGTGTCAGAGGTACCGCTTTTCCGAGAAGATGATTCTGTGAGTGCCATTGGTACCCACAGAGCAGGTGATAAATTATGCATCCTTGATCTATGGCCTCTAGCCACATTACCTTTTCTTTAAGTGATGTAATAACAAGCTCCAAAAAGGTGTCAAAACCCCAACTGTATTTAATATTCACTCACAAGCTTTTGTCACAGGCAAGCATGATTTTTTGGTGTCTTTGACACCCGGGAAAGAAGGATGACTGAGAGACCTATAAATCTCAAAGTCCTGCTTTAGGCATAACAGAGTGCAGGAGAGAAAATTATGACAACGCAGTATCTACATGGTCAAAGTACTACAGTTGTAATAACAGCCCAAATAACCTTGTAAAGCTAAGGAGTAAACATTATTATCTCCATACAGAAGCTTGCCAAAGGTGATATGTGCTGGAATTTATTTTAAGTAAGATAGAACTCTTCAGTTCCTCTCTAGAAACTAACAAGAAGCTTCGAAGTAAACCTGTAACAGAATTCAGAATAGATACTGTGTGCCTTGCTGGAATTCAAGCCCATACCACCTCACAACCATCAAAATTTCCTATCCAAGAGGTGGCTGGAAGCTATATCAAAATCTGGAGTTTATTCTGTTGTTGCTGCAGGGTGGGCCAGTTCTCTGGAATTTGTCTCCTGCAAATTGTCCTTCCTTTTGCATGTCCCTGAAAAGAAGTAATCTTTGTTTCCACTTCTGATGATAAACCACAAGTTAAAACAAGCAGGTTTTTCCTTGAATGCCAACCAGCTATTATTATACAATTTGTTATCGGATCAAAGCAAACATGACCTTAGCCCTCGGACAGTGCATCATAGCGCCATACCTTTCACATGGAAAGGAGGAGGAAGGGGGAAGAGAATACCTATCCTGCTTTGCTCTCCAGATGTGACTGCAGGTATTTTAAACTGTAATTATGGAGCCAGCTAAGCTCTTTGGCTTTCAGACTCCTGGGATGTCTTGCCGCCTCAGTCTATTTCTGGGCGCTGTAAATATTGCTGTTCATGTAGCAGGAAAATAACTGAGCCACAGACATACTGACTAATAACTCAAAAATGTGAGGACAGAGAGAAGCCATACCCATTTCTGAAGTCACTTGCTCAGCAAATCAGGAGATTGACGCAGCCTTTATACCTTTGTAATAGTCCTTGCTGCACCTGAGGGTTCATATTGTGACAGGTGTCCTTCCTCAACCTGCCCCTTTCTGTGCCTTGCAAGAAAGACAGACCAGAGCTCAAATTTGCCACCTGCAGGAAGCCTTTGCCAAGAACAGAGGATACTTTCCCAAGCTGATAGCTCTGTTGTTGACATTTATAATTCTTTGCATTTTACATTAAAGCCCACCTTCTGGAATTGAGTGGTTATGGGAGAAATTCAACTTTTGTTTATTTGTTTGGAAGGTTTCTAGTGTTCAGGTTTGCAAAGAAAGGACTTCTGAATTCAGGGCTCGGAAGTTAGAAGGAAGGGTAATCCCTCTCCGCAATTGCTATCTAAAGGAAATTATGCGATTTTTAAGCAAATCTTATGGTAATGAAATCTTAGTCATGATGTTTTAAGATCTGGGCTGTTGATAGTGCCTCTTTTAATGTCCTTTACATAGTCCCACAGACTCTTTCACATCTGGTCGTAGACCCAGCACACAGTTTGTGCTGTGTAACAGCAGCACAACAGGTTTCCTGATACCTACTTGCATCTCAAAAGTCATGTCAGCTAGGCACTGCTTGCACCTCCACAATTACTTATTTTCCTCTTGAGAAAAGGAAGAGCTTTAGGCCAATGTGGATGGCACAGGTGGTGGCTTTTCCCTGCTTTTCTCAATACAGTGTTTTCATCAGCATTAAAAGTGAGCTCAGTACACAGTGCTGCTGTTCTTAAATATGGGTCTTTCTGTAAAGCTTCAGCTCAGCATCGTTTGGGCTCTGAAGATGATCCCCTTTTCACATGCTGCTCACACTTTCCATTATAGCATTTTGAGCAATTACAGAATATGTTACAGACTAATTTATCCCTCACAACACCCCTCAGAGCTGCACAAATGTGTTTTATTACCCTTCCTTTACTGATGTAGAAAGCAAGACATGGAAATAAAGGTGATATTCTTTCCTTTGTTTTTGTTTTTGGAAAAGAGCCAAATTTATTAAATTCTGGCTGAACGTGGGGGAGGAAAGTCAAGATGTGGGGACAAATCTGAGATAAACTTCTACTATTCCCTGGAGCCTGTTAAAAGCAGTTCTACCATGACCTTTGGAGATCAGGTCTCTGGGAGATCCTGGACATGACATGGGGCTTTGTGATGAGATAAATTTTCCATCAGTCTCAGTTGAAGGTTCCAGTTTGTCACTGCAGAAATAGGAGGCAGCGAGTGACACAGAATTTTTAAGGAGCCTATATTTACAGGGACAGCAAGGTGGCTGTATGAAGTGACAGGGCTTCAAAGTTCACTCAGTTCAAGTGGACCTTGAGAGGAGGAGCTGTTGGTAAAGAATGGGGAACAAACACCATGAACAGCAGAATGGTGGAAGGTTTGCTGTGGCACCTGTTCTGGTTTAGCTAACAACACCAATGAGCCCTCCCTGCTCTTGCTGCAGCTGAAGTGTTCCTGGCTCCCAGAGGGAAAGGCCAATCCATTAGGAAAGACAAAATTGAATTGATTAAATCAAACAGAATTTGGAATGCATTCATAAAGTCTGTAACTCGCAGTGAACAAGATATGTAATCCAAGTATGGGGGGGGGGGGGGGCAAAACAGGGCTTTTAACTTAATAGGAAAACTATATTCTAGTGGGAATGTCAGAATGATAGAGAGGTATCATCCCCTCACCCTTAGGACAAGGCATTGCTTGAGGGATCTGGATAGGATTTCCCAAGAGAATTATGAATTCTATGTTAGATGAAGCAACTCCTATACTTAAAAATCAACGGAAGGAGCCTCTAAAACAACTAGTACCTGGCAAAAAATCTGTGTTCTTTCACTTAAATTTGTGCCACAAACTGATCTTCCTCCATCCAGCTGCCTGTCCTAGGCTCCAGTTTCTGGAAAAGGAAGGAGATGCCTCTATCCATCACCTTTTTAAGACTCAGTTGACCTACCACTGTCATTCCAGAGGAGCAGAGAGAAATACGTTGTTCCTCTGAACTCTGTAATTCTGTAAATTTGTTTGGGATTTAGAAAACAAGGTGATAGATGTCTTCTAAATGTCAGAGACAAGACAGATAAATGTTCCCTCCTTAACCTATCATTTTCTTTTAAAGTTTCCCCATCTGTTTCCTGTCTTCTTATTCCTTGTTAATTGTGGGCTTTAGAGCTAAGACCTGCTGGTGTATACAGCATGGGCAGCCCTGTGGCCAGGATCCCCAACTCCTCAGCACTACCAGAACTGTACTGGTCACAGCGGCAAGCTCTCTTGAATACACATGCAAAGAGAGCCCAGTCATCATTCGTGTAGCTCTGTGCTTTCACTTCCTATATCCAGGAGAATCATTAGCCAACATGTTCCGTCCTGAGAGTGATATTTCTTCTTCTCTTCCTGTTTTCTTGTTCACTGATTTTAGTTAGCCTGGTATCCAGTCTTCCAATTTATATTCTGATCTAATCCCACTGATTACTGTAGACAAAAAATGGAAAAATCTCACTCAGGCAAGGAATTTTTTTACAGTAAGGGTGGTGAGGCACTGGAACAGGTTGCCTAGAGAAGTTGTGGCTGCTCCATCTCTTGAAGTGTCCAAGGTTGGACAGGGCTTTGAGCAACCTGGTCTAGTAGAAGACATCCCTGTCCATGGCAGGGAGCTTGGACTAGAGGTTATTCAAAGGTCCTTTCCAACTCAAACCATTCTATGATTCTATGGTTCTATGACAGAAATAACTTCACAGAGCAGCTCATAAGCATAATTATGCCTTGTTGCAAGATGAGGGCTAGCACACATTTGGGTAAGGCTTGTCAGGCTGCATTCCCTCTTTCTTCTCCCACAGAATCTCTTCTTGAGGCTGCACTTTTCCTCTCACCTTTTTATTTACTTTTGTCCCAACTAAGACCCCACCAACACTGTGGGACCTTCTCACCTACGTCCTTCTGGCCTTGGCCAAGCCAGTCAGTTGTGGTAACAGGAGGACTGAGCTTGACTGATCCCCCCAGTTGTGAGGTTTCTCTTTGTTTGTCTTTTTGACCTTGTACAGAATAGCAGTGGTGTTCCAGCAGCTTACCAGAGTGTTGCTACTGTTGGGAGTCCTTTCCTCTTTGTGCCTCTCCACTCTTAAGTTTTTAACCTTTTGTTGTCATCTCTTTCCTTCTTTTCAGTCATTGTTCCCTGTAGTCCTTTGACTTCTCCTTTTCTTTACCTTCTCTGTTTTTTCATCCCTCCTTAATTTCTGAGGGAGTGCTTTGGTGGTGTTTCAGAGCTGGGCTAATTCCCATCCCTAAGACTCAGGGACAAAAGGGACAGTGGCCAAGCTATGTTGGGGTAGCCCCCCAGCCTAAACCACTTAATTCTGGCTGCTTTTACATTTGATATCTACCTTCAGTCACTGTTGGAACCCTATCGCTTTTCCAGTCACTGCTAATGACTGATGAGGTGCCCAAGATGAGCTATTCCCTGGGTCATATAACTCACACACTGCTACTGATCTTGTTAACATAAGATTTTGGTGAGTGCAGTTGAATATGTTGCCTTGAGATCTCCAAAATATGTTTTTCAACAGATGCTAATCCTGAGCTACCCAAAAACCCATAGGTACAGGAAAGGCAGATCATGTTCTGCAAATCATACACTGGGATGTAGCCAAAGTACAAAAGAAACTAAACAAAAGCCTCAGTCAGCCCTTTGAAGGTAAAATGTGCAAAATATTTGCTCCTGTTAAAAATACTCTGACCTCTTTTTTTCATGTGTCAATCTTCCTGCAAAATCATTTGCCTCTATAGCCTTTTTTCCTCTAACTTTGGACACAAAATACGCACTGTGGATGGCTGCCAAAATGGTGAGGTAGCTTCTCTTAGAGAAGCTTCTCCTCACTAAAAGAGGACATCTGGGCATTATCGGTTAGATTTGGTCTCACAGTGAGAGGAATTTAAGATTTTTCTGCTTCCCTAGTGCTACAGTCTTGTGCAATGCTTCAAGCAAACTTCATTTTCACTGCTTTTTTTTCAGAAGTGGCTGCATTATGAGCTAGCCAGAAAACTAAAGCCAGGCTGGTTATCTCATACAGCTTATAACATTATTGAGGAGCCACTTCCCTTGTGGCTAAGATTTTCCAAAGATATGGATAATCTGAGTGTACTAAAGTCTCTAATATTTGAGTGGCCTCCACAAAATATCTCAGAAAGTCTGTTTTTGAAAAAACTGTTCTCCTCATCTGTAAAACTGAGTCTTTTTCAGTTGTCTCAGTGTAAATGGGCAGTAACAAAAATCATAGACTCTTTTGAAAATCTTGGCAAAGTTATTCTTTGACCCTATAGTTATTATGCACATTTTAAAAGACCCTGCAAACTTGTTTGTATTATTAGAATCTACGCACAATAATCCTGAACCCTCCTCAGACCTGTCTTATTTAGATGTGGATTCAGGCAAGCAAATAAGAATGCATTTATTATGGATATTTGGAGCGCTTCAGCAGAATTATCAATGCTGACTTTAGCTTATTTCCTGAGGTAGACATGAGTAGTATCTTCCCTCCCCCATTAACTTTCTAGCTCCTCAATAAGACATTACAGAGAATTAGATTCTTCTCCGTTGCCAATTTGAACAGGAAACATTTAGCGCTAGTGAATAGTAAGTATTTCCCATATGCAAATTTGCTCATTTGCTGCCTCTAACTTCTCATTAAGGGAAAGGGTCATTTATTTTGCTTAAAGCTTTTCCTGGGAGCTATTAAAATTAACAAGATGCTAAGTGTTTTACTGAGGAGGGTCTGTAATTTCCTCAGCTGGTACAGCTGGAAAATCCACATTTATTTATTCTCTGCTCAGAAATTACTGGGATAGACATGTACTTGCTATGTAAATACATTGTTAGTTTCTTGGCATGTGTCCTCATGTGGGTCAGAGTCAAGAAGGTTAATGAAATATTTAAAGTGAATTTTTGCACAGTATTTTTTTAGCTCTGCAATGGATAAACAACAAAGCTAAGAGCATGTTTGTATAAGATATTTAATCAGTTGTTTTCATCCTACAGAATGTATAGAGGCTATTATCAACATGTTCTTATACCACTTGAATGAGATTATGCTCTTCATAAATACTCTTTTAAAGGCAAATTTGAAATTCATTTGTAAAGTTGTATTGCTCTAGTAATGAGCAGCAGAGCTGATGTCTCTCTGAGTTTGCTTTAATTTATGCCAAACTGTCTGTAGTTGCTCTTGGGCTTGAGCTTTTTAGAGGAGACGCACCTGTGTCACCCCTGTAGGTCCAAAAATCAGTGGAGCTCAAAGAATCTGAGTATGTCGTGTATAATAAAGACAGTATTTCTGACGAGCTCCCCTGGTCCAAGACATCCAAACCAAGGCATTATGAAATGTTGACTTTTTTCTCCATTTCCTTGCAGAAGTCCTTTAGCAATTGAATTTCTTGAATGTCATCAAAAGAAGTCAAACCCAGATGTGGACTGTGCCTGCTCAGTATGTCAGAAGTGGAACCAGCTTTCTGTAGTTTCCCATACTGCAGTGAGAGAAGGATTATAAACTAAGGTATTTGAACACCATGAAATTACCCACAAATGGAGCAGTGGATGTGTTCACAAGGACTCTTTGCAAATAAACAAAAAAATGTCACCACTTGGATAAAACAAGGCGTGAAAATAAAATGCCAAGATCAAATAGCAGCTGTACCCACTGGAGCTGGAACTGAAACAATCTGATCCACTGAATTTACTACTTAACAAACAAGAGTTTGACTGATAAAAATGCTCTTAAACCTTTCTAGCTTTGTGGTAGATACAAGATCACTCCAAAGTGGCTTTATAGGAGCAGGCTGTACTGGTGGAGCATGGCAACAGTTTGACTTTTTTCTAAGGAGTGGGTTTGGCATCTGCTGAACAGGTTGTACAATCATAGAATCATAGAATGGTTTGGGTGGGAAGGGATCTTAAAAAACTATTGAGTTCCAACTCCCCTGCCATGAGCAGGGACATCTTCCACTAGGCACATTGCTCACAGCCCCATCCAACCTGACCTTGAATGTTTCCAGGGATAGGGAATCTACTGGCTCTCTGCAGCAATCTATGCCAGTGCCTCATCACTCTCCCAGTAAATAATTTTTTCCAAATATCTAATCTAAACCCTCCCTCTCTCAGTTTAAAGCCATTTCTTCTGGTCCTGCACTACATGCCCTTGTCACGTCTCTCTCCATCTTTCTCCTAAGCCCCCTTTTACTGGAAAACTGCAATAAAGTCTCTTTGAAGGCAGAACAACCCCTTCTCTCAGCCTCTCCTTACACGAGAGGTGCTCCAGCCCTCTGATAACTTTTGTGGCCCTCCTCTGGTCCCACTCCAACATGGTCATGTCTTTCTCCACTGAGGACTCCAGGGCTGGACATAGTACTTCAGACAGGGTGTCACCAGAGTGGAGTACAGACATGAGGCTCACCACTACAAGCCAAACACATAGTCTGAAAAACACCATGAAGTTTAGATTTCTGTTTTATTTCCATTCTGCATTTGGAGGCAGAAGCTGCTGTCTTCAGTGAACTTGTCATTAACAGAATGAGAATGATACAGGACAAGTCTCTGACTCCATTTCTGCTACAGTAAAGCTGAAGTAATTCTGACTATTGGGATGTTTTGCTATGGATGAGCACTTTTGAGCATTTAACTGTTTATTTAGTCCCTTCAGCAGAATCACTGATGTCAAGAGCAACCAAGCATGGTCTCAGTTGGCCAATTATTAAATAAAGAAGATAAGATTGCAGTTGTGGGCAAATTTCACACACACAGTACCACTGATGATCTCACAGCGATACAGTGTAGAAAGATAACCTGTCCTGGTTTTAACAGTATAGGAACCAGGCATCTGAGACAGAGATGGTTTCACTTGGGTATTTTTAGAGGCATCGCAATCTATTTGTTTGGCAATTTGTTTGATTGTGGTTTAACTTTTAAAAATCTGGAAATCAGCTTTCTTCTTTGTGGCAGCAGAGAATTTTTCATCATTTTCAGCAAAAACAATATAAGGCATGGAATCTGGAACAGATAGGGTTTTCTTTGGGATATGTGTCAGAAGTTGGAGTTAATGGGTAGCAATAACGGAAATAAAATAAAATTCTAGCTTAAACAGTGGACAAAATGCTTTGTCCTGCTAAGACTCATCTTTTGTTCACTTTTTGTGAGACTTTTGCAAGTTCTCCAATCTCTTTTCCAGGATAAAAGTAAGCCACATCTTACAGACAGACGTAAACTCCTCTTAAACCTTCTGCAGTCATCATAAAAATCCAAAGAATGACATCAACCTTAAAAATATCCGCCTAGATTGTCAGCTGAGAAACATGTTGTTTAGACCAGAAATTTGCTCAACAAACTTGCAAATTCTGGTGATTTGTATTTAGAAATAACCCAGCCGTGCTAGTCAGGGCACTCAATATTTTTGACATTGTAAGTGGATATGCTCAACAAGTCAGTGTGTGCCTCAGCAAAACTGGGTGACAGGAATCCACCAGCTTAAAAGGAGGATTGCACTGCGCACAAAAGGGAAAAGCCTGTTCAAGTGAACAGTTTCATTTGTATCTCACAGCAAATTAGGTTCCTTCACAATCTCCTCAAGGGAGTGTGGCATCACGAAGCCTTTCATCGGGGCCCTCAGACTGGGCTCTGCTTCAAACTCCTTCAGAAGAAGAGAACAAACATCCTCCTTCCACTGAGCCGGATGTTTTCTGAAGGTGGAACAAGGTATCCTCTGTACCTCAAAGGGAGGAAGGATCACATAACACCAGGCATAAATGTGGAATTACCCGTTTTCATAGGCTTTTTTATTATTATTACTTTTTTTAAACCAGGAAGCTTTTCCACATCCCAGTTAGAGCTATGAAGTTCTATGGGTTTCCTCTGCTTTGGATGTACTGACATTCAAATCCCAAGCTCTCAAACAGTCATTATGTACCGGGCATCTTAGCAGAGAGGGTGGCTGGTAGAACATTTCACTCTCATAACAGCCCTATGACAAGTACAGAAATGACGTATGTGGAAAAATATTTATCAGGAAGCATTTGTTGTATTTTTAGTTTCTCCTTTAAAGCAATTTAGCGGCCAGAAAGCAAGGGAGAGGAGAGCAAGTTCCTGGCATACTACCAGTAACTTATCTGTAGACTTCAACTTTGGAACCTGGTGCTGACCGGCTACACCTGAACTTTCTGGGAGTTGTCAGCAATTCAGATTAGGGTTGAAGCATCTTTCTTATGGCACCGTGCAAGCAGTGATTCCTGCTGTTTTCTTCCCCTAACTCAATAACCTGTTAATCCTGTTTCAGGCATTGGAACAGGCTGCCCAGGAAAGTGGTGGAATATCCATTCGTGGAAGTATTCAAAAGGTGTGTGGATGTGGCACTTTGGGGACATGGTTTAGTGGCCCTGGGTTAATAGTTGGACTCTACAATCTTAGAAGTCCTTTCCAGCCTAAACCATTCTGTGATTCTAATCAGTAGAGCAAAAGTTATTTCTGTAAACTTTTTCTTATATGGATCACTCTAGATTGAAACAGGTTTGTATTCCTGCTGTAGAGTTAGTTCCCCAGGAGGATGAAAAAAAATATAGCAAGGGTCTGTTTCTCTAGCAAAGTGATAAGTTTCAAGAAGGAACCTCTGTGACATTTGGTCATTTAAAACAGCTCACATTCCTCTGGACTTTTCTTTGTTGTTCCTTTAATTGTTTTGCATGTTTTGCCCACATATGCAAAAATACTTAGATGGAGATGTTGTTAAAAACATTCTGGAAAATTAATTTTTTCATTTACGTCCAAGAGAGGAAAGGGCGTGATTAGCTTAAGTGATTAGTAAAAAGGGATTTGAAGTTTTTCATCTCCTAGTGACTCACTTCTAGGCTGCAAGTTGCAATGATTTCAAAACTGGCCAATGTTTCACACTTGCAGTGCCATTTCCCTACGTGGAAATGTCTGTCACAAACCTCAAAACACCTAGTGTTTTCTATAAATTTGTGAATGTTTCCAATCTAATAGACTAAAAGACGAATGTCAGGGAGATGACCTACCCTTTTATGTATAAAGGATCTAAATCAAGGATAGAAGAAAGTAATTCTATAGGTCTTTGTGATTGATTTATTGTCTTGATAATGAAAGTTATTTTCTCTTTTACACAGTCAGGTTGTCCACATTGTAAACTCATGTTTATGGAATAATGGGTCTTTTTAAACATTATTAGAAACACGAACTGCATAACCAGCAGCAATGGAAGCCTTTACATCTCTTTCATCACATGTTTATACTTTAGTAAAGCCTTTGACAAAGCACTCTCCTGGAGAAACTGGCTGCTCATGGCTTGGACAGGTGCACTGTGGGTAAAAAATTTTCTGGATCGCCAGGCCCAGAGAGTAGTGGTGGATGGAGTTTCATCCAGCTGCTGGCCAGTCATGAGTGGTGTTTCCAGGGCTCAGTGTTGGGGCAAGTTGTGTTTAACATCTTTATCGATGATCTGGTCGAGGGGATGAAGTGAACCAACCCTTAGTCAGTTTGTAGATGACATCAAGTTGGGCAGGAGTGTTGATCTGGTGGAGGGTAGGAGGGCTCTGCAGAGGAATCTGGACAGGCTGGATTGATGGGCTGAGGCCAATTGTACGAGGTTCATCAAGGCCAAGTGCTGGGTTTTGCTCTTTTGTCACAACAACCCCAGGCAGTGCTACAGGATGGGAGTAGAGTGGCTGGAAAGCTGCCTTGAGGAAAAGGACCTGGGGATGTTGGCCAACAGCCAGCTGAACACGAGCCAGCAGTGTGCTCAGGTGGCCAAGAAGGCCAATGGCATCCTGGCCTGTATCAGCAACAGTGTGACCAGCAGGACCAGGGCAGTGATTTTGCCCCTGTACTAGGCACTGATGAGGCCGCACCTCGAATGAAAAGAACAGAACAGACCAAGAAGCCCTGACAAAGAACAGACTTTTGGCTCAGCTGGCTTCAGAAGATAATCACAAGCTTTCTGGAAGCCAATTTAAGTGCCATGCCAGAACACAGTCTAATTTCTCTGTTAAGCCCTTTGCCAGGAAATAAACTATTTCATTCAAGAGGTTATTGCATTAAGCAGAAATGACTAAGGCTGAGATTCTGAGGTCCAGTTCAATGCTGAATGTCACCTCACTTGACAAGCAGACCTTAAGTAACAAAAAAGGCATTCAAAAGTGAGCTTTTAATTCAGTTGTATTTTTAGCTGGACCTTCCTTCTCACTTCTAGATATCTTGTTTCTTATCAGAATGAGTTAAAGCTTCATGGAGCATAACATGAAGGAAAGCTAAGCTGCTGTGGTACATGACCGAGTAGGATCCTACCGAGTAGGATCAAATGGGTGAGAAACTGGTGATGCTGGATGGCAAATAAGATTCCCTTCTCTGCACAGAGCAATGCCCAAGTGTGGTACTAAGCAGAATTTATTGAAAAAATACAAAATACCAAATGTATTCACAAATACTTTAATCAGTTTGCTTTATTCTGACTTCTGCAATCAGAATTATTTGCAAATATTTGGATGACAACCAGAT